CATCAATGAGGGAAGACGAAGAGCGGAAAGAGAGGGAACAACGCGCCATGCAAGAAAAGTATCGCAGTGAGAAAGAAGCCGTCATTCCCGAAATGTACTGGAGACAGGAGGATCGGGACAACGAATTCTTCAAGGACACCACCGGCTTCACGCCTGTGGAGAAGCTTGTGCCTGCTTGGCAGATTATGCCGCCAATCAACAACTTCACCCCCGAGGAAGCAGACCTCTTCGAGAAGAGATATCTCACGAACCCGAAGCAATGGGGCGTCGTCGCTGATAACGTACCTAAGCGCAACTTTGGGACCTGTATTCAGTACTACTATCTGATGAAGAAGGATCTCAACCTCAAGGAGAAGCTTAGAAAGCAACCCAAGCGTAGGAAGAAGGGTAGAGGTAAGACCCGCTCAAGCGCGCTTGTCTCGGAGCTGGGCAACGCCGAAAATGAGGGAGAGGAGAACCAAGAGAACGGTGAAAACGGAGAACGGAGACGTCCACGTCGTGCTGCTGCCCCGACATGGGGCTTCGAGCAACCGCCTACCGATTCCGACAATGCCACACCAGCCGGAACCCCTGGCCGTCGCGGAGCCAAGGCTGATCCCGAAAAGGTCGACGGTAGGAAGCGTGGACGCAGGGCAGCCAAGGACAAGGAGCCGAAGGCGCCTAAATCACAGCAGACTCTTGCAGCAGCACCCACACCTGCTACTGGCAAAGGCAGGTCTCGCTCGAATTCTAGAGTTCAGAACACTGAGTTCCAGCCGCCTCCGCCTGTGCCTATGGAGAATCGTCTGCCCTCGCAATTCGAGGTCCCGGTTACGAGCGTTCAGCCCCCTCTGATTCCAACTCAGCAACAACAGCCCCCTCTGGTTGTCCAGGAGCGCCCTGTTCCCATCACCCCTTCACCGATATCCGAAGTCATGGCGCCTCCGTCACTTCGGCCCGAGCCGCCACCACCTCCCGCGCAACCAACCGTCGCGACTTTCGATATTGCTCAACCGCAACCTGAGCGTCGTGCTCCCAGTCAGGCGTCCAGCTACTGGAGCGTGTCTGAAGCAAATGATTTCCCTGGGCTACTCAAGTCTTTTGGTACTGACTGGGTAGCTATTGCGGGCCACATGGGTTCGAAGACAGCTGTCATGGTCAAGAACTACTTCGTCAGACAGAGAGACCAGGGCAAGGCTGAATGGGAGCAATTCGCTGCCGAGGCTGACGCGAAACGGAGCAGAGGTGAGAAGCTACCAGATCCACCACCGCCCACTGTCGGTGGACGCAAGAAGTACGATTCTACGCCTGGGGCTTCGTCACATCGGCCCCTTGCTTCCGCGCCTGCCACCCCCGCCCCGACGACTGCATCCGAGCCGCCGAGCGAACCTCCTGTGACAAAGGTCGAGCCCCCCGTCCAACAACCTGGAGCACCACCCTTTGGCCGCTTTGCGATGCCGATTACCCCGGCACCACCGACGCTGGCGGCGCAACAGCAGCAGCAACCGCAACCGCCACAGCCACAGCCACAGCCACAGCCCCTTGCTCAAGCTCCTCCCCCTGCCGTGGTTGCCACCCAGGCCCCTCCTCAAGCTTCCCAACAAGCGCCAGTTCCTGCTCAGCAACAACCATCTGCCCAGCCAGTATCACAATCAGGGTCGCCTGTTGCTCGCCCACCCCGAGCACCCCCTCAACAGGCCTTTGGCTTCCAAGAGAGGGAACGAGAGTCGACCCAACCCCCTCAACCAGTCAGGATCTCACAAAAGCCGACTGCCACCCCAATCACCGAGCCCGCTCAACAGCGGCCTTTGGCTGCCGCACAACCTGTTCAGTCTGCCCAGCCTGACTCATTGGTCGACCGACAACAAGCTGAGAGGCGACGCGAGATGGAGAGACAAGCCATTGAGCAGCAACAGCAAATTGAGAGACAGCAGTTGGAGAGACAACAGCTTGAGCGACAGCGCATAGAGCAACAGCAGGTTGAGCGGCAACAACTAGAGAGGCAGCAAATTGAGAGACAACAAATCGAGAGGCAACAAATGGAGCGTCAACAGATTGAGAGGCAGCAAATCGAGCGTCAGCAGATTGAGCGCCAGCACGCTGAGCAACAGAAATTTGAGCGCATACAGCGAGAGAGAGAAGTTCTCGAAAGGCAGATGATCGAGCGACAACAAATTGAGAGGCAGCAGATCGAGCGTCAGCAAGCTGAGCGACAGCAGATGGAGAGGCAACAGATGGAAAGGCAGAAGATTGAGGCACAAGCCAAGGAGCAACTACGCCCGACCGAACGCACTCGCCTCAAGCAGGAGCCTGAGATGACACCGCCACAGCATCATTACGAATCATTCTCCTACGGTCAGCAACCGGTGCGGAACGTGCCGCCTCCTCGATCTGAACCACCCGTGGCAAGACAGCCTGCCGAGCCGCCGCGGGCAACAGCTACCCCCGTTCCACAAGGCTACGGCCAGCCTATGCCTCAGCCAGGTGGACGACTCTTGGGTGATCCTCAGCCGTCTGTCTCAACACCCCCTGGCCAGAGGCCCATTGCAGCTCAACGACCTATGCCCACTCACATGGACTCATATGGCACCCCTCCCCAGCAGCAGCAGCCTCCGCCAGCAGCGGCCGCGCCCCCGCCTCGCTCGTCAGCTTCGGAGAATAGGAGATCCAACATCATGTCGTTGCTCAACGATGACCCACCAGCGGCTGCCGCTGCTGCCGCTCCTACACCCCCGCCTCAGCCCAAGCGTGTTAATGACATGGCTCAAATCAAGCCGTCCCCGACGCCGCCACCACAAAGCATGTCTAGAGGACCTGTTGCCGCGCCGGCACCGACTCCCCTGCGGCCGGAGCGGGAGCCTCCTCAGGCGGCCTATCCCTACGGCCGGAATGCTCCCTCAGCGTCTGCGATGCCTCCTCTGAAGCCGACTTACACCGCCTCGCCCCAATCGCAGCACATGAGCGCTCCGAGATCAGCCATTGCATCTCCTCATGATGCGGCGGCAGCCGTCGAGCGAGACTACTACCGCCATCAGTACCATCAGCCTCCAGCGACGAACTCTCCTCAGGTAGCGCAGCCTTATCCGCCGCAGCCCCAGTCTCGTGATCCTCGCGATCCGCGTGACCCCAGGGACCCCAGAGATCCTTATCCACCCCAGACTGCGTACCCTACGTATGGTGCACCTGCTTCCCATGCTGGCTCGCCACCGCCTCAGTATGCCGTACATCAGTCGGCTTCCAGACGCGAAACGCTCCCCCCGCAAGGCAGAGAAGCGGCATGGCCTCCTGGGCCTCAGGGACACGCCATGGGCCAGCCGCAACCGCCACAGCAACAGTCTTCTTGGCCACCGGCGTCACATGCGCAGCCGGCTAAGCAGCCTCAGCAGGCACCTCCTCCTCAGAACTGGGCCTCTCCGCATATGTCGGCGCAAAAGGCACCTCCAGCGGGCTCGACCATGCCGCAACAATCCTGGGCTTCCGGACCACCTCAACAACAACAACAACCGCCGCCGGGACACCACATGTCGATGCGAGACGACAGAGGCTCGGCCATGTACGGTCAGGTCCCACCTCAGCACCAACATCCCATGCAAGGGCGCTACCCACCCGTCTCCCGGGCGCCAGAGCAAATGCCGCCTCAAAGTCAGCAGGCGTACCCGCCGCGGTACGCATCAACGCCCGCGCCTAGAGATCCCCGGGACCAGATGCCACCTCGGAGCTACACGCCTGTAGGATACGATTCACGTGGCCCGCCTCCGGGACCTTACCCTCCGGATCCTAGAGAGATGCAGATGCGTGAGATGAGCCGCGACCCCCGAGACCCTAGAGATCCTCGGGAGATACAACACCAGGAGATGCTTCAGCGCGGTCAACTACGCCCACAGGATGGCTACGGGAGACAACCTGATCGATACGGCCGATAGAGGCGTGTATTTAACTCCACTTTTTTGTCAAGCATGTATCAAAGAACCAAAAAAAGAAGAATTCAACTAAGGGGGGACCATTGGTGTATGGTGTCTTTTATGGTCTAGGTTAGAGACCGGAAGCCATAAGGAAACGTAGATGCAAGAACGATTGGGTGGAAGGGGCGGACGTGTATTCATAGTGTTTCAACGCATAAAGCAGAAGGCTCTTTTTACTTCAATGGGAATTTTCTTAAATCACAATTACATCTTGCCTCGGTCGTCATTCATCGCCGCTTTTGGTCTCCAAGTAACCTATGGGAAACGAAGGTTGAAGTCTACGTTCACTCAAAGTGTATGTTGTAAACGGTGGGGGACTCCTCGATTCATCATCCAACCTCCCGAGTTGCTTGTGTCTTTACGTCTCTTATTCGTAAGTAATATGTACAACTTCAAACAAAAAGTCTCTTTGTCTCTCTCCTTGGCAACTCAACACACACACACACACCGCCTCCTCGTCCAAGTTTCGTCATCTCATGATATTCACATCCATCCAAACGTGCTTCGCCAAAATGCACAAGGAGCCTGAATATACCGGCTCTTTCAAGTGTTTCCTCAGCCGGAAGACCCCGTCAACGCCTTGCCGTGCCGTGCCGTGATGATGCCATGTCCTGCCGAATTACCGCGGGGCCGTATTAAACGCCGACAGCAGGCCCTTTGGTTGTGACATGAGAAAACCCAACCATTGAGGGGTATTTGTTTCCTCCCAAAACTCGTGTCCCCCCATCCAGGTACGTATGCATGGCGCAGAATCGGTTGTCACCACATCAATCACGTCTCCTTTGTTTTTGCCCTCCCCCCATCCATTAAGGAGGTTTCTTCCAACTCCGACAGTTGCGCCGACTCAGTCGATCTTGTCGCGGGGCCACAGCTTTGCAAAATCTGAGACTGGCAAGTGGAAGCAAGTATGCAAACCAACCAGCCCTATCAGATATAAGCTCACTGTTACGGGGTAGATCGCCAGCCCTCTCAACTGGCTGGTCTCGTACCCCGCAGCCCGGCGCCAAGATTTCCGCCACGCAATTCATACAATTACTCCGTACGATCCCGGCGGTTCGTTCATTCAATCAGCGGTTTCTTCTGCCCTCCCACCAGACATAGTCCCAATGTCTTGAGAGACTCTCGGTCGTTCGCTAACACAATCGCCCGTGCAGGGAGCATAGGGTTATTCGGATCGACATGCGAGGCGTCTTTTGCGGCCTGTTCGATGGCGTCCATTTCCTCTTTACACGCTTGCTGGTCCATTGGGCAAATGACCAGCGGCTGCCTGACGGTCAAATCTCTGGTCGATCCTAGCTGCGCCTAGTGAAGTCTGTGAGCATGGGTAAGTTATCGCAAAGTCCGATCAACGTACCTTGACAGTCAAGTAAAACTCAATCTTGTACAAGGTTGAGCTCGTGGTGAATGAAGTAACTTCATAGAGCGGAAACGCCGGTTTCCCTCTGCGAATGATGCCGTCCGGATCGCGCAAGTCCTTGGAGGGAAACACCAAGCCCAAATTTGTCGCGTATCCAGCCTCGGGCATTTTCGTATTGACCAACTGCGTATTCTTGGCTACTTTGTTGATTTTCTTCGTAGGCTCGTCGCCTTCCGGGTTGTATGTAATTTCCTCCTCGATGGTGACGGTGATCTTCTGTATCGTGACCTTCAACGCTTTCTTCATCCAGTCGGGATTGGGAACTAGTTTTATATATACTGTTATCGGGTCAAGCGGGCCGTAGCTCCATTTGGGAACCGAGATGCCCAGTGTGACGACGCTTGCGTCGCTGACTTGCCTCGACTCTGGCTTGTTGTACATGCCAAAGGTCGATAAGGTGTCGTATCTCTGTAGTGGTATAGGAAAGGAGTATTTATTCTGGAGGGTGTGTCCTTGTTGCACGGTAACAACAAGCTCGTAGTACGTTTCGGCCGTTCGGCTGGGGAGTTGTAATGATGCCGGGGGTATTCGTCGATTCGTTTCTTCGCCACCTCTTCCAAACGGGATGAACAGGACGAACGGTAGATCCATCGCAATGACGCTCTCAGCGTCCTTTCCTGATTGGCATCTAAATAGCAGCAGCTCTTTGCCGACTACGTCCGTCGTTTCCCTTCTCGGGGTTCCCAGGTGCCTCTTCGCAACATTCTCGGCGGCGGGGTGTATCGTTTCTCTCCGTTGTAGGCAAATGCGCACTAGCGAAACGGAAACGGGCATGGAATAGCCCTGTGATGGACGGATCTCGACTTTGCCTTCGATTCGGGGCTATATTGCGAGTAAGAAAACATGTCAGCAAACGGCGCGCAAAGGGTGGTTTGACTACATCAGCCTCCCCGACGTCATCACAGAGGGTCCAACGTACTAGCGTCGCAGAAATGCCCGGGTAGCCGACCAGAAAGCTGCTGTTGGGCGGACCAGAAACCCTCACGAAGGCGGCCATACTGGCTGGATCGCCAGAGTATCCAGGATGTGTCTCTCGTCGGCGTGGAAGTGGTAAGGGCGATGGGCAGATGACAGAGGTGAGGTTCTCATATGTGTCGGTGGGCGGCAGTCGTGCTTCCTAGGCGCTGCGCGCGTTGCCGCCTGGTGGGTGTGGGGTCCAGACAGTTGAGTCCAAGCTATCGGGGACGTGCAACAGCAAGAGCAGAGCGCAAGGCCAAGCGGCGGCATTACATGAACGGATCGCAGTTGGCCGGTAGCCTGAGGTTTGGCTTCGTCGGGTCGGGCGCTGTGGGGAGTACTGCTAGTAATGGGGCGTTCCAGCGTCGAGATGGGCGTTGATGGGAGTTGGCGCAAAGTTAGGTCGGAGGGGTTGGAGAAAGCGGCGCCCTGTTCCGGAGTCTGGAGATGTGACCGGCGGGCGGTTGTTGGAGAGAGTGCGGAATTGGGGGTGGAGGAGAAGAGGAATCGAGAGCAGTGACCAGCAGAAACAAGACCTCTCAGCCCAAGCCACAAGGTCGCGCGACTTGTGTACCTCAGCAAGGTGAAGCAGCTAAACAGGGTACCTAGGTTCTGAGTGGGTGCAGCTGGGCTGATGCAGCTTATTCTCGCTTCTGCATCGATTTTCCCAAGGCAAGCATAAGCAGCAGCAGCAGCGGTCGTAATGGTAGCAGCAGCAGCACACGAGGCTCGCTCGGTCAAATCGGGCCAGGGAAGCTCTGGGATGAGTGGTGGATTGCGAATGGAGTCGTACAAGTGGCACACTGAGCTTAGCGAGTTGAGGGTGGAGGGAGAAGAGACCACGGCTTTCTCGAAGTAAGGTATCTGTACTCAGACGTGTTGGATCCGTACAAACGTAGTAGACCTGGAGGCTGGTTGTTGGTAGAGGGGCCCGATGTGGCGGGGGGGTATGCGGGTAGAGATGGGCACTGCACACGGCCCTTGGTCTGTCTATGCCAACTTCGTTTTGCTGATCCGCCGTTGTTTCCGCTGTCTCGTTGTCTCGTGCCCTTTCTTCCTTTCTTCCCTTCGTTGTTCGTCTCTTCCTCGAAGTGTGAGAGTTATTTAGGAAGTACACTCAACTTTCCATGTGCACAAATGCACGTCGAGATGGGTGTAAGATGGCAAGTCCCCTGCCGGTATTCGTACAGTACTAACTGACTGCTATGCTGAGCTTTGCACTGCAATGGATCAGGCTCCGAAGGCGGCAGTTTGCGCTCTGTGTGGGATTCGCTTCACTCTCCCCCGGTGTGTTGATGTTTGTAGTGATTGGGCAGTCTGCTGCTCAGCCGCTGAGCTGTGGGTTGTCTACCAGGGGGGAGCAGCAGAGAGATGAGAGGATCGGTACAAGGAGTGTACTTTGGGGCTTCTGTGTGGTACTGCCTCTTCCTTTGAGCCACACTTGAGATGAGTGTGTCTGTGGGAGTATGGGGATTGAGAGACAGAGCCTTGTGTCCAAGTTTGAGGGCCAGTCGTCGTGATGGCTTGCGTGTCGGATAACGGTGTCTGAGCGGGAATCTGGGAAGATGTTTTGGTTTGGATCGGTTCCTTGACCAACAGGTATCCAACGGCGGAGGGAACGGGAGCCAACATCGCGTCTTCCAACGAAGCTTTCTGGATCATATGTTTTGATTCGACTCAGATTTAGCGGCCAGGACCAGGATTAGGTACTCACAAGTAAGTAGACTTAAGGGGAGTACTTGGAAGCCTGGACGGGGCAGGGGGTCAAGGGCCAGGGAACGATGGCTGGGACGATTGGCGCAATGGAAAGGTGCGGGGAATGCCTCCAACACGATTGCAGTGTCTGGTGTAAGTTCTAGCTCTACCCTGACAACCTGAGAGGATGGAAGAGCCTTGGCAGTTATCTGTGTCGGAGCGAAGGACAGAACGTGGAAAGTGGGAAGCAGATGGCGACTTCCTGTATCCATACCTACTACCAGGTGCGTGGGATTCAGACCGTGGCCATTGCAAGTGCATTGGGTATCGAATTTTGTATTCTCCCATGTCTGGGAAAAGGAGAATCCTACCTCGAACATCTACAACGTTGACCAACTCAATGCTGTATACCATCGTCCCTGGTGTCTTATTCACCAACTCACAATTTTACATCTGAACACTCGCATTTCGTCTTCTATTCATCGAGAGAAGAACTTTCTCTTGTCAACTTTCCAAAGTTCTTCCTGGCAGACAGTGTCACGATTCGAGTTAGCACTTGTATCAACGTGGAGATTAACAGCCGCGGTGGTGTTTCAACCCTTTTATGACGCGACTCGCATGTCATGAACAGCGACAGAATCTGGTCGACATTTCTTGCCCATCGTGCTCTATTTTCGGATCACCAGTGTTTATCTGCCTTAGCTTCATCTCGCTAACGATCTCTTCAGGTTTAGGCACGAAAATTTCAGTCTGCCCAAATAAGCTATTCATCATCTTCTTCTATCCGTATTATCCGGAAAGCTTCTCAGCTCACCCACCCTAGAAGGCTACCTTGGGTATGGCTCCATGGTCCCTGGAAATTTGGGGGCACTGAAGCTTCGCCATGCCCTGCACAGCCCTGGGCACCCCAGACTTACGAACAGCCTCAAAAGGTGTAGGGTCCATAAGAGCGGAGAGCAGGGGTGAGCTTCCCAAAAGCTGCCCGCCCACCCCCGGGTTCCAATCACAGACGAGACAGGCCCTCGGCATCGATCCGAGTTTCGAGCTTCGAGACCTGACTTACTGACTCTGTCCCGGACCTCAGGCCCGGGTTGTCAGAACACCTTATTAATCATCAGACTGAATCTGCGGCACAGGCTTTCGGCGCGTCATCTTGGGTCTGGACATGGGACGGACGAGGTTATTTTGCTCGTGATGAGGTGCTTGGTGCTTCTCAGGCAGGTGTGGGTTGAGATGCACGAGCCATCCGCCCCGAGACCTCAATCCCGCCATCACGTGCTTGAATTACGGTTGGTCTCCCTCACATGTATCTTACATAAGGCAACCAGTCACCGCCATCTTATCGCCTATTTCCGGCTTGATTACGTATTCGTACCTTACTTGAGTCAACTTCAATCCCGCGTCGGTGTTAATTCTGTCCGCATCCTGCAATGATGCCCACATTTGCGGGCTCGCGGGGTGTTATGTAATGCGGACCTATGTCCGCACGACTGTCCGTTAGAAACTTGCAGCCAAGTTGACAGAGCCTAGCTGTTGAAATGCTTGGCCGTTAACGACGGAACGTTGAGTATGGATATCAGGCTTAGAAAATAGGGAGCTAGGAAGTATCGACTAGATAAAACCGCATGGGAGGTGCTCAACAATGCTACTATTCCCAAATTGTGAGGAAAGAGCCACGATGAATCTCTCGTTCTCCAGGAGACAAAATCTACAACTACTTCTGGTGCATCAATGGCAATCCCACTGGGAACTTGAAAGAAGGTGGGATGGCATCGATGCCACTAAACTTTAATTCTAAAATCCAGAAATTCCCCTTAGCAAAAGCGGCTTTAAGGTCATTAGCTCCAGACATTCCACATCCCATGCGGTCAGTGCGGCCGCGTCGGCCGCATCCCCACGAGACATCGTCATGTAACTAACTTCAAGCCATGGGACATGACGAAGTAAATAAATACTGGACGAAACCTCCCATCATCTCGAATTGCAATCATCATCACCATCAATCAGGTTAACAATAGCACCCGGAAGATTCATAATCTCCAAAAACAACCAAACTTCATAATCACGAAGAAGACGTATAAGTCCGCAGCTACAGATCACACAAAAACCCCCTTCTCTCGAAAAAGCAACCATGTCCATCCTCGCACCCTACGCTGAACAACACAATGCTACTTCAGGCCCCAACGACAGCCGCCCCACGGGAGTCCAAGTTGTTGAAGACCAAGGCCTCGTCGGAAAATGGACCGATAAGGTCGTCATCGTCACCGGCTGCTCCCCCGGCGGCCTCGGCCCGGAAACCGCTAGAGCCTTCCACGTCGCCGGCGCCGACGTCTACATCACCGTCCGTGACGTTGCCAAGGGCGAGGAGGTCGCCAAGGATATTCTCTCGGATGGCAAGCCCGGCAAGGTCGAGGTCATCAAGTTGGACCTCGGATCTCTCGAGAGCGTGAGAGAGGGCGCCAAGGCGTTCTTGGCGAAGTCGGACAAGTTGAATGTCATTGTGAACAATGCTGGTATGTGATACTTTGGAGGGAGTGGTGAAAAGGGTCTCAACGTAAGCTAATGTGACGAACAGGAGTCATGGCCTGCCCCAAGGGAAAGACGGTAGATGGATTCGAGACCCAATTCGGCACAAACCACCTCGGTAAGCACTTCAATACACAGACAAGACTATCAAGAAGACTTCCAGGCCACTAACACGAACCCCTCCAGGCCACTTCCTCCTCTTCCAGCTCCTGAAACCAACCCTCCTCGCCTCATCCACGCCAACCTTCAACTCCCGCGTCATCTCCGTCTCCTCCTCAGGCCACCGCGGCGGCCGCATCCAATTCGAGGACTTCAACTTTGACCACACGGTAGAGTACCACCCCTGGGCGGGCTACGGCCAAGCCAAGCTCGCAAACATCCTCTTCGCCAACGAGCTCGACCGCCGCTACGGCGCCCGCGGCCTCCACGCCCTCAGCCTCATGCCCGGCGGCATCGAGACGCCCCTCCAGCGCCACCAGCCCGAGATCACCGAGATGATCAAGGACCCGGCCGTGCACAAGGTCATGAAGAGCCCCGCGCAGGGCGCCGCCACCTCCGTCTGGGCCGCCGTTGCCAAGGAGTGGGAGGGCAAGGGCGGCAAGTACCTCGAGGATTGTGCCGAGGCGGAGGCGATGAAGCCCGATGCTGGGATGCTTGCTCCGGGATACGCGCCGGCGGCGTTTGATCCCGAGGCGGAGAAGAGGTTGTGGGTTGAGAGTTTGAAGATGGTCGGGCTTGAGGATGATCAGTGATTCTTGGCCCGGAGAGAAAGGGGGGTTGTTTATTATGATGATGATTTGAAAAAGGAGTAGCATGCGT